TATTAAAATCATTAAGAGTAGCGCTACTCAACCCGGTGACCCTAATAACAAGTTGTTATTAACAACTAATATTGAAAAAGAAGCAATATTGTCTACACTTCATGATGATCCTATTCAAGAAGGACACACAGGTATAACAAAAACCTTTGCCAAGGTCAAAAGACATTATTATTTGAAAGGAATGTGTAAAGACATAACCCAAAACAGTCAAAAACAGCGAGACATACTAAAACTGCTTTACCACTTACAGAAACCCCAGAAATAGTATTTGATAAGGTAATTGTGGATACGATCGGTCCACTGCCGAAATCAGATCAAGGAAATGAATATGCAGTCACTTTAATATGGGCCGTTCTTTTACAAACCGAACAGATTTGGCCAAAAAAAAAATTTCACATTTTTGATTTGCCTGAAACTTTTTTTACACGTACTATTCGGAAAATAAGTAAACACGTGTATCAGGATTTGACCGAAAAAAAATTATTTTCCTAGTTAGAATTTTTTTAAGTGTGCCAAAAATTGTCAAATTTGAAAAAGTACCCTCTCATTGAAAATCTGTATCTCCGGTTATATGAATCTAATTGACTTCATGTCTTTTGCATTAATTCCTCTAAAACCTCTCCTTTCAAAATAAAATTTCTTAAAAAAAAATTTTTTTAATTTCTTAAAAATAAAAACAAAATAAGATTTAAAAAAATTTTTTAACTATTGCCCCCACAAAAAAAAAAATTTTTTTTTATTTTAATACTTGCGTCATATTGTTAGTAACAATCGGTTTTTGTAAAAAGTTGGAGCCACGTTTAGTTTTTAAAATATCGAATTTGTTTTAGCAAGGCCTCGGCTTTTTTCTATGAAAAAACGTCGCAGCAAGTAGATCTACTCTCTCACTCTTATCGGATCCTAATGGAATTTATGTTTTCTCATTGTTTACTAGTCCTTTAACAATTGTTAAGGATTAAAAGTTAAGTTTTAAGTTTTTTGACAATTTCTGAATGCCAAAAAGTAAAAAGTCATTTTTTAATCAATTAAAAACTTACAACTATTTATTTAAACGTCTATTTAATAAGCAATAATTTTAAATTTATTTTATTTATTATTTTTTTATATTATGTAATTTATTAAACATTTTTAAATATTTTTTTTTAAGTTTTTAAAAAAATTTATTTAATAAAAATAAAAAATTATAAAATTTAATTAATTTTTTTTTAAATTTAAAAATAAATATTTAAAAATGTTTAATAAATTACATAATATATAAAAAATAATAAATAAAATTAATTTTAAAATTATTGTTTATTAAATAGACGGTTAAATAAATAGTTGTAAGTTTTTAATTGATTAAAAAATGACTTTTTACTTTTTGTCATTCAGAAATTGTCAAAAAACTTAAAACTTAACTTTTAATCATTAACAATTGTTAAAGGACTAGTAAACAATGAGAAAACATAAATTCCATTAGGATCCGATAAGAGTGAGAGAGTAGATCTACTTGCTGCGACGTTTTTTCATAGAAAAAAGCCGAGGCCTTGCTAAAACAAATTCGATATTTTAAAACTAAAAGTGGCTCCAACTTTTTACAAAAACCGATTGTAACTAACAATATGGCGCAAGTATTAAAATAAAAAAAAAATTTTTTTTTGTGGGGGCAATAGTTAAAAATTTTTTTTAAATCTTAATTTGTTTTTATTTTTAAGAAATTAAAAAAAATTTTTTTTTAAATTTTATTTTGAAAGGAGAGGTTTTAGAGGAATTAATGCAAAAGACATGAAGTCAATTGGATTCATATAACCGGAGATACAGATTTTCAATGAGAGGGTACTTTTTCAAATTTGACAATTTTTGGCACACTTAAAAAAATTCTAACTAGGAAAATAATTTTTTTTCGGTCAAATCCTGATACACGTGTTTACTTATTTTCCGAATAGTACGTGTAAAAAAAGTTTCAGGCAAATCAAAAATGTGAGCCAATAAAAGGTGTTCGGTTTGTAAAAGAACCGCCCATATGTGAACTGTCAAAATATCTTGTTGCTATACCAGTACCAAATAAAAATGCAAAAACAGTAGCAAAAGCTATATTCGAAGAATTTATTCTAAAGTACGGTCCAATGAACCCGTTCATTACGGACATGGGAACAGAATACAAAAATTCTTTAATTGAACATCTATGCAAAAACCTAAATATCAAACATATACCGTTGACAGCACACCATCAATAGACTGTCGGAAATGTGGAACGAAGCCACAGAGCCTTTAATGAATTTATATAATAAGACGGATTGGGATGTATGGTTAAAATGCTTTATTTATTGTTTTAACACGACACCCTCTATGGCACATGATTATTGTCCATAATAGCTAGTGTTTGGTAGAACTTCGAATTTACCATAACATTTTAATAGCGGAGATAGAATAGAACCTATTTATTATATAGATGATTATGCAAAAGAAACAAAGTTTAGATTGGAACAAGCTTTTAAAAGAGCCAGATTAATATTAGAATCAAATAAAAGACAACAAAAAGCTCATTACGATAAAAAATTTCTGGATTTTGAACTTAAGATAGGAGATCAAGTTTTATCAATGAATGAAACAGGTCACAAATTAGAATACAAATATACAGGACCATATACAGTAATTGGTATATGAGATAATGATAACACAGGCTGACAAAATGTGACATGGGTCGGTGTCCAGGCTTGCCACCATTTTATTTCGATAAATCAGGCTTTTCTAAGCATAAGTTGCCACTACGCCTATAGTCCATCAGCTCTGGTATTTGCGGTATCTTTAATTTAGGAAAATCACAAATTTTCTTCGTCTTTTGGGATATATCTTCAAGAGTGGTCAACCAATTTTGGTAATCTTTTCGGAATTAAATAGTTACATGTCTGTTTTATACGGTCGTTTTGGAAAATTCAATCTAAGTCAACCATAAGAGGAGGTGGTCGCATTCAAAATTTTAAAGTCACAGCAAAATGTAAAAATCTTCATTTGTGAACAGCGTTTAAAAATTAAATAAAAATATTTTCTTCTACAATGCATTTTTGATCCAAAGACACCTTATGTCCTTACTGTTTAGGACACTCATCAGGTTTTTGTGAATTGTTTTGGAATTTTTAAAATTGTTTTTCTTACTTCCTTCACAGTGACTATTCACAAACAGTGACCAAACCTGTCACAATTTTATAGTCTAGTCACACTGTGTGGGGTAACATATCGAGTGAGCCAATGACCCGATTACTCCAAAAAAGTGTTTCCACTTGGTTAACTCCAAATATCGAGTAATGACATCTAGTGTTTGTTGTTTGTGTTGTTCATTTGACTAGGGATGACCTTCAACGATAAGAAATAAATACAAAATATACCGAAATATACAAAAAAAATACTCCGAAATATTAAAGACCCTAAAAGTACCCCACTTTTGCCCACATCTAGTTGCCTATACACATCCTATATAAAAAAAACAGGGTTATGTCAATAACCCCATAACTCCATTACTCCACCCCAGTGTAAATAGACTATTAAATAACATATTTCTAAACGATCTAAGTAGTTTTGCTTTGAATATAAACACATGAGCGTAGGCTACTAATCTTTGGGGGCTGAAATGCCTGAAGTGTAATCCCCCTCCAGCTTTTAACTTACGCCCATGTATAAATATTTTTAAAGCAAGGGTTACTTGTGCTCAAAAATAGTTATGCGTTACGTAAAATAGTGACAGGTTTGGGCACTGTTTGTGAATCGTCACTGTGAAGGAAGTAAGAAACTACTAACTATCGGTGGCAGTCGTTCAACACACAAACGAGGATAACGACACAGCGGAGTACCTGGAGGCACAGCTAGCTGGCTTCAACACCATGACGGGATCGTCGAACATGGCCGAGCATCGGATCACGATGAAAGACGACAAGCCAATCAAGCAACGATACTACTCCGAAAATCCAAAAGTTCAAGGGGAGATCAATGCGGAGGTGGATTAGCTTCTCGGAATGGGGTATATAGAGCACTCGAAGAGCCCATACAGCTCCCCCATCGTGATGGTGAAGAAGAAGACGGGCAAATGGAGACTCTGTGTCGATTTCAGGCAGATCAACGCAAAGTCGATAAAGGATGCCTACCCAATGCCGAGCATAAAATATATCCTCGACCAACTGCGAGAAGCGAGGTACATCAGCAGTTTGGACCTGAAGGATGGATATTGGCAAATATCTCTGGAGGAAAGCAGCAGGCAATACACGGCTTTCACGGTGCCGGGAAAAGGTCTATTCCAGTGGAGGGTTATGCCTTTTGATCTCCATTCGGCATCCGCAACGTTCCAACGAGTTTTGGACCAAGTAATTGGACCTGAAATGTCACTCCACGCTTTTGTTACCTGGACGACATAATTATGATCGGACGCACGCTGGAAGAACACAAGAAAAACCTAAAAGAGGTTTTCCGACGTTTAAGAGAAGCGAACCTGAGGCTAAACCCGGAGAAATGCAAATTTTTCAAAAAGGAACTGGCCTGTCCGGACTTCGACAAACCGTTCACCCTGCAAACAGACGCGAGCGACTACGGGCAATTGTGACCCAGGAAACGGAGAAAGGCGAAAAGGAAATCTCCTAATCTCAATGGCGCCGAGAAGAATTACTCGACGACCGAGAAGGAATGCTTGGCAATCGTCTGGGCGATCCGGAAGCTAAAGCCATATCTGGAAGGTTACCACTTTAAGATGGTAAACGACCATATGGCCCTGAAGCGGCTAAACAGCATTGAGAGCCCTTCAGGAAGGATCGGCAGATGGGTCCTGGAGTTACAGCAGTACGACTTCGACTTTCTTTAATTCTTAAAATTAAATATGTGTAATAATGAAGTTCCTAATCCCCAACGCTACCCTTTTTTTCGTGGTAAATGAAAATAAATACTTGGGGGGGAGGGGGGGAATCAATTTATATTATACCTTAAAGCCTTAACATCTCAAATCCCTAATGTAATTTTTATTTTTCTTTTCTTTCCAGGGTGAATCTAATGAAGCGAGAATAGCTGTTGCTAATCAAAGGGCCCATCAACTATTAAAATAATGAGATTATAAGGCGGCGAATATATATTCATAAACAATTCAATAATATTTATTCTGATTTTTACGTGTGCTATTAAAAAACATTATTCACGGATTCCAGTCACCTATTTGTGCTCCGAAAGTTATAAACAACTTCTACATGTAATGAAAATATGCTATAACTACCCAAAAGAGATAAAAAACATTCCAATTTTATTTTATTGCATAATTTTATAATATTTAAATTCGATTAATGTTTGGCACTATAGCTCCAACTTCGATCAACTGGTCCGACTAATAGGATTAGTAGGATTATTAATACTTACGGTTTGGTCAGTTGACCCTTGCTATCGGGGGTGCCACAGAAATCGCTTAGCGCTGTATTGGAGTTTGTTTCTTATGTTCATCAATTTACAATTTTTTATGGCTTCAGCGCCAATCGATTATCGTGGCAGCCCTGTATATGTGTTAAGGTTGAATTTATTAATCCTTATATATAATTTAAAAGTAAAAGAAAGTATAACTATTTTTAATAAATTAAATGTACGTAAAGTGATATGTTTTTTTTTAATATAAAATAAACTGGAGCAGAACGAATTTCAGAAATCTTTTCGGGTGAAACTCGAGGTGAACTCATACGTAAATCAACACAAGTTCCTTTTAAACCCGAAGAGATTTCTGTGTTACCCTTCGTAGTGGGTATTTTGCGTGTTGTGTACTTAAAATATTCAACCTTGTACAAGTTTAAATTAAATTACCTTAAGCTGGTATTATATCGTAGATCGTTTGCAATCTCCTGTCTACACGCTGCAAAACTTAAAAAAAACTTGTCAGTTTATATGCTGCAATGAATCAGAGTAACATTTTAATAGCTTGGTTATTGCTACCAGCTTTGAGAGAGCGTGTAAAAAGGAAATGTGTGGTGAACATGACAAGCCTGAAAGGCTTCCGATGCACCATAATTTTAATTTTCATAATTTTAAAGCTGTATAGGTTTTTGATCATTCTAGATTTTCATTGAGAACTAAGCTACTAAGTTTTAATTATTAGGTATCAAGCAATGTAAGTTGATAAAAAATTTTAAAAAGTACACAACTTTTTGGTACATCAGTTACATAAATATAGTTTAAGTAAAAGCACAACAAATTATTATATAAAAAATCATCAATCAAATTAACACTAACATACCTTCTTATAAAGTCTGGTACTAGTAACATTTTTTGCTCACTTCAAAATGTTATTAATTCCTTTTGCGTGTTAGGATATTTTTTAATTAAAATAATCAAAAAAGAATCAAATGTATGAATTGAAATAAATTATCGGTCTACATAATAATTTTGAAATTGTTTTTATTGTCTGTTGGCGTTTGACGAGTAGTTCCTGCGGGAGTAAATATGACTTTCATTTAGCATTATTTTGTTACCTGTTAGAGGCGTATATTGTATTTGAGACTAGTTTGTGTAGCAACGGTCAGACAGGCGGACATGGCTAGATAGACTCGTCTAGTGATCGATATATATATATATACTTTATGGGGTCGGAAACATCTCCTGCGTTGCAAACTACTGACTGAAATCATCTGCAAGGATATAACAAGGACAGAAGCGAGCCGAAGTTGTAATACTCTTGCAGATTTCAAGAATGAAAATTTGAATAGAATACGAACATGAATTAAAAAATGTTGGATTTTGAATGTTCAAATGTACAAAAGTCACATGGATGTACACGCATACATTCATGTTTGCATGAATGCATGTGTACGAGAAGTAGACGCACATTCCGATGTCTCAAGGAAACCGCTAAAAGTAACGAGACCATCGTGCTTCTTCTTCTCATCTTTTCGTCGTTCTTTTGCTCTCTCGATATTCCCCTTCGCTTCTATTCTCGCATCGAGAGCGTGCGGTTCATACAGTCTAAATCTGCATTATTATTTGTTCATTGGAAGGTGGCCTGCTTAATACTTAATTGTATTAAATCTATTTATAGACAAAACCATAGGTTATAGGCCCAGACACAATTGCAGTGAATAAATAATAGTGCTTTAATCGTTTCAATGTGAAAGTGCATAAAAGTGAAATAGTGATATGTGTGTGTGTGCATACAAATATGCGTATCTACATACATGCGGTGGTCCATGAACAATAAGGAGCTATTCCTGAACTATAGAGGGTTAAATTGGTTTTATTTATAACGCTGCGAAAAATTCGCCGCTAAACATTTTTATATTTCCAGGAAGAAGCTACATACATATCGCCGAAAACACATTCACACATACAAACGCTTCGACAAATTGGCCGCAAATCTCCACGTTGCGACGGGACAGAGTTGCCAGACAGTGCTGCTGCTGAGAGACATTGTTGCAGAACAGTCTTGAGCGACGTTAATGTTGTTGAAAGTTGCTAGCCGCTGTTGCTACCGTGCAGGAAAAATGCGAACAAGTCTGAAAAACAACTAGTTATACAACTAATATAAAGCAACCAGAATTTGTCTGAATGCATTTGGACTACAAACGGTCTAAAAATATATGCTAGTCGAAAAAATGAATAATACAAAACTAGTGAAAAGGGAACTTGTCTCGGACTGGTACCTTTCTGACTAAAAAAAACCTTACAAATATTTAATTAATAGAACAAATACATGTTAAAATCCAGTTAAAAGACAACTGGAATTTAACTAGATGCAATTGAAACTCATATGATTCAAAAATATAGCCTAGGGTGCAAATGTTTTTGATTTATGTCACAATAAAATTTATAAACCTTGTTGGGGCAATACAAAATGTGATGCGTGTATTGCTCAATCAGTTAGTGTGTCTACAAATCCAAGGGTCCCGGGTGCAAGTTTTAGAGAGGGCGACTTGCCTCAAAAAAAGTAAGTTTGTTTTAATTCCATTTAGTTATCATTCACTGTATTTGATTACATAATAATTATTAGAAATTCTCTAAGGACCGCGCCTATTAATTGGATGCTAAATTAGGAGAGCGTCAAGTTAGGCATCGTCAAGTACTAGTGAAATCCAATCACTTGATGGTTTAGAGATTAATTTTTAGTTTTTTCGTGAAAATATTTTTTTTAGTGTTGTTCAACAGCTGTAACCGTAAATTGGTTAACAGTCACTAGTGCAAAACTAGTAGCAAATGGACCAGTTGTTTCCGACGATAAGCATATGTAAAATGGACCACTTCGTTACAAGGAAATGGACATAACTTGAACTAGTGAACCTTCTTGACCCAACTAGTATTTTAATGGTCCAAAACTGATTCCGTTTCCTGCAGGGAAATGATCAAGCAAAATATGTTAAAATATAAAATGCCGATTTTAGATAATGCATTTTTAAAACTAAATGTCTAAAAATATTAAAATACAAAAGCAATTAAGAGCCATAACCATACCAAGCGCTATGCCCAATATCTAAATATATGTGGGAGTGATATTACTAGAATAACCCTACCTATCCCTAACTATCCCTAAGACAACGACGAGCGGTAGCACATTCCAGAAATAGACGAGCCAAAGAAGTAAAAGACGAAACCAACGACAATAGGACGAGAACGACGAGTAGTGGCTGTTGCCCCCATAATTTAAGTTTAATTTTTATTTCAATTTGTTATATATAAGCACTCGATATACACCCCGAGGTATCGATATAATATGAAATGGTATCGATATGGACCTCATTTTCACGCTCGCGAGAACCATCGCTAGAAAGGGCAGAAGCGAAATAAGAGAAGAAAGAAGACAAAGTTTTAAAGCGTGCTCCGCAACGCAATTTTGTATTACACATTGATTCGGAAGCTGAAATTTAAATAAAGTTAATTTTAAACACATAGTTTATTGCTATCCGCCTGTGTTTCGAATTAGTTGTGTGGGCTGCTGTAAAACCAATTCAGTTTCGCTCTCAACATTCTTAAAAACTTTGTGTAAAGAAAAAGAAGAAAAAACTTTGCATAAAGAATGCGCAATTAGCCATAACATTGCCACATACCGAAAAACTTTATTCTTAAAGGCTTGTGCGACGAATTTCCAATTAGCCATAACATTGTGAAATTGCGATCGCATCCCTTTCTTGAACGAAAGGTGAGAGAAAACGTAATACGTAAACGGAGCCAACAAACCGCAGAAATTACGCACACAACTACAATTCCGCCACACGCCGAGTTCACATAACCGTACAAAAGTGAACAGAGATGAGCGAAGAAGTGTGCAGAATATGCAAGAAAAAAGCGACAGGAACTGAGCAAAGCTGGGTCCAATGCGACAGTTGTGACAGTTGGTACCACTTTCGCTGCGCAGGTGTCGGCGAAGACGTTGAGAATAGCGACTGGAATTGCGATTTGTGCCTTGCTGGAGGCAGCGACGGAATCCCACTTGGAAGGACACTGCGATCACCGCTCCCAAATCAGTTCGACAACTCCATCTTATTATCCGTAAACCAGAATAAGATCGAGCAGCAAGTGAACTCGCTCATCGATATGGATAGTCCCGGCGAAGTACAGATTACCCCCGACAACAACTCTAACGTCAACAAAAACCAGCTAATGCTTGACATGTTAGAAGAAAAAAGAGCTTCCGAACAGAGATTTATAGAGGAGAAGTATAAAATTTTACTGCAAATGAACGAACTAGGCGGATCGACAGCCGGGCTAATTCAGGCGACCCCCGCATCACCCTCCACTTCCCAAATCGCCGCAAGACAAGCTAGACCCAAGGAGCTTCCTTCGTTCAGCGGGGATCCTGATGAGTGGCCGATGTTCATCAGTACATTCGAGCACAGCACTTCCGCAGCAGGATTCTCCAACGTTGAAAGCATGCTCCGTCTACAAAAGTGCCTAAAAGGCAGGGCACGCGAAATGGTAAAAGATAAGCTTCTACTTCCTAGCCTAGTTCCGGAAGTAATGAGCACGCTGAAAATGTTCTTCGGCAGACCTGAGCACATTCTGGAGAGGATGATCGACAAGGTGAGGAAGCTACCTCCGCCCAAAGAAAAATTGGAATCCATAATAGAGTACGCGCTCGCAGTGCGCAACATCTGCGCCACGATCGAAGCGCTTTTAAACAACCCAATGTTAGTCAAGGAGCTTGTAGACAAACTTCCAAGTAACCACAAATTAAATTGGGCGATGCACTCCCGCGACGAATCAGTCCCTCCCATTAAGGCCTTCAGCGACTTGCTTTACAAAATAGCGCAGGCGGCATCGACTGTCGTGACACCGTTTTCTCACAAGACTAGTTCTGTGAATACCCACAATAGTTGCGCAGCCAGTTCGAGCGAGGGATCTGCAGTTCAGCAACCGCCTAATCCAAAGTGCATTGCATGCAAATCCACAAATCATTGGGTAACACAATGCAAACAATTTAAATCCAGCGCCGTAGAGCAGAGATGGCAAGTCGCTAAAGCCGGAAAGGCATGCTTTCGATGCTTGAAGCTTCATCGAAACAATTGTCGACCAAAGGATTGCGGAGTAAACGGTTGTACCAGAAAGCATCACCCTCTACTCCACTCGGAAAATGTTCCCAATACAGCCAATGAAACGGGAAATCAAAGGCATGTAAGCACACACCAAGGCGATGTAGAAGGAAACCAGTTCTTCCGAATCGTACCCGTAACATTACATTATGCTGATCAAAAAATGGAAATCTTCGCTTTTTTGGACGAAGGATCATCTGTTACCCTAATAGACAAATCAATTTTTGACAAGCTCGGTATAAAAGGTTCACCGTCACCGATTTGTTTGCAGTGGACTGGAGAAACAACCCGGTTCGAAAATACTTCCGTGCGAGTATCAATCCAAATCTCAGGCGTAAGCTCAGAAAAACGTTACTGGCTCAACAACGTTCAGACTGTCCAAAACATTGCACTGCCAAAGCAAACCGTCGATATGGATGAGTTGCGCAGTAAGTACAGCTATCTAAAGGACCTGCCATTAGAGACCTACTCCACGCAGCCAATGTTATTAATTGGAACAAACAACTGGAAAATAGCCGTTCCTCGCAGGATCCGCGAAGGCAACTGTAACGACCCAATAGCGTCAAAGTGCATGTTGGGGTGGACCATCCAGGGATCGGCAAACTCAAACCGTCACGTATCTATGCACCACTGCGAATGCAACTGGCAAGAGCTTCATGATGAAGTGAAAGAGCAATTCAACCTCGAGTTAACTCCGCCTAAAAAACTCCTTTCAAGCGAGGACAAGCGAGCAGTCGAAATCCTAGAGCAGACTTGTCAGCACAAATGTGGAAAATATGAAGTTGGACTTCTTTGGCGGAATGATCTTCAAAAACTTCCCGAAAGTCGCATTACCGCTCTAAAGCGCCTACAATGCATGAGATACAGAATTCTGAGCGAACCGGATCTGTTTACGAAAATCGACGACCAACTCAAAAATCTTCTTACCAAAGGATACGCCAAGCAACTGTCCGACGAGGAGGCCCATCTTTATAGCCTTAAATCCGAATAAGCGAGGAAAAATTAGGCTAGTCTGGGAAGCGGCAGCAAAAACAAATGGAATAAGCCTCAACGACCTTCTGTTAAGCGGACCGGACTGCTTAAACCCACTCATCGACGTTCTTCTAGCCTTCAGAGTCGGAAAAGTCGCCGTAAGCGGCGACATCGCCGAAATGTTCCACAGGATCAACATTCGCCATGAGGACATGCATTCCCAGCGCTTTCTTTGGTACGACGCCAACCGAAACAAGATAAACACTTACGTCATGCGTGCCATGACCTTTGGTATTAGTTGCGCGCCATTCATAGCCCACTACGTGCGCGACAAAAATGCTGAAGTCCACCAGCAGCAATTCCCTTTAGCCCTGGATGCGATTCAGCGTGCGCACTACGTCGACGACTTCATCGACAGTATGAGTGATGAACAGAAAACCATCGAAATATCCAGCCAAGTAAGAGAAGTCCTTCAGGTTCTCATGTCGATCTTCGACCCCTTGGGCCTACTGTCATGCCATACGATCGGATTAAAAATTCTTCTGCAGAAAATCTGGCGTGCAAATATCAGCTGGGACCAAGAGCTGCCAGAATCACTGTTGGATGACTGGAACCAATGGAAGCTGTTACTGCCTCAAGTGGCAACAATTAACATTCCGAGATGCTACTCCCCAAAGATGTCTGAAGAGACCCGAATCGAACTGCACACGTTCGTGGACGCTAGCGAGCATGCTTTCTCCGCTGCTTGCTACCTGCGAGTATCACAAAAAGACGAGGTGGACGTAATACTTGTGGCCGTGAAAAGCAAAGTGGCGCCACTAAAACCACTATCTATTCCGCGCATGGAGCTCTAAGCCGCCGTGATGGGCTCACGCTTAGCCAACAAAATCATCAACGTACGTAATCTTCGAGTCGACGATCTTATGTTCTGGTCGGATTCACGAACTGTTTTACAATGGCTGTCGATGGATCCTCGCAACTTTCAACAATTTGTGATGCACAGAATCGGCGAAATCCTAGAGACCACCCGAGCGGATCAATGGCGATGGGTCCCATCAAAACTCAACGTTGCAGACGCCGCAACTAAAGTTATCAAAAAACCTTGTGTGGACACATGGCTTTACGGACCCGAGTTTTTGAAAAGCAAACCCTGCAAGTGGCCAACAATTCCATCACGGGCAACGGAGATCGATACGACCGAACTACGCAGACACATCTTTACAACTCGTAATGCAAATAAAGTCTTACTCGACGTGGATTATTTCTCCGATTGGCGGCGCCTTTACAGAGCCGTCGCGAACATGTTTCTATATATTCAGCGACTACAGGCAAAGTGTCAAAGGACCTACATGCCGACAGCAGTGACCGAGTTTCACGTCAAAAAGGCACAGACCCTTCTATACAAAGAAGCACAGAGGCTCGAGTTCGCGGAAGAAATCAATTCATTGAAGTGCACAAAACCAATAAGCGCAAAAAGCAGATTGACTGGCTTGAACGCATATCTGGACGACAACGGAATCCTGCGCACTAAAGGTCGAGTGAACGCAGTCGGATATACTAAGGACGCGATAGTATTGCCCCCAGAGAGTCGAGTAACATTTTTATTGGTCCGGTTCTATCACGAAAAATATCATCACCTCGCTCACGAAACCGTGATAAACGATATAAAATCCAACTTTTATATTCTGCGCCTAAGAGTACTGCACAAATCCATAAGAAAAGCCTGCCAATTATGTAAAAATCGTAGCGCTATGCCACAGCCTCCACAAATGGCCGCTGTTCCAAAGGCTAGGTTGACAAGCTATGAAAAACCGTTCACGTGCACCGGCGTTGATTATTTTGGCCCTATCCTAGTCAACGTCGGAAGACGCAAAGAGAAGAGATGGGTTGCGCTGTTTACCTGCTTAACCCTCGAAATCGCTCACAGCCTCGATACAAGCTCCTGCGTGATGTGTTTCACCAATTCACCAATTCACTTCGTGGGACACCAAGAGAAATTTACTCAGATAATGGCACGAATTTCAAGGCCACGGAAAAGACATTGCGAGAGGAGCTGATCAAGATCGACTTTGACAAAATTGCAATCAAGTTCGACGGTATTAAATGGCTCTTTAACCCTCCAGGAGCCCCCCATATGGGCGGCGCTTGGGAAAGATTAGTCCGCACTACCAAAACGGTCCTAAAAAGCATCTGCCCGAATTACTCATTCAACGACGAAAGCCTGAGGTGTGCTCTGATGGAAGCACAGTTCATCATTAACTCGCGCCCGTTAACTTTCGTCAGCCTGGACTCCGAGGACGACTCTGCGCTGACTCCAAACCACCTGCTGATGGGTTCATCAAACGGGTACAAGCCGATCAAGGAAGAGAACATGAATTTAAGACGTCATTGGAACGAGGTAAAACTCTTTGGAGATCGCTTTTGGCAACGCTGGGTGAGGGAGTTTACACCGGTGCTTACTAGACGCACTAAGTGGTTCGAAAAGTGTCCCCCTTTATCAGTTGGAAGCATAGTAATGATCGTCGACGAAAACTTGCCTAGGAATTTATGGCTTAAAGGACGAGTGACCAACACTGTTACCGCCAAGGACGGACAAGTTCGCCGAGCCACTTTTAAAACGCAGTATGGAGTTCTCGATCGACCAGCTACCAAGATTGCGGTTCTAGATGTCGGCTTAGAAGATGGTAACTGACCACCCTAGGGTCAATTACAGGAGGGGGAATGTTGCCGCCATAATTTAAGTTTAATTTTTATTTCAATTTGTTATATATAAGCACTCTATATACACCCCGAGGTATCGATATAATATGAAATGGTATCGATATGGACCTCATTTTCACGCTCGCGAGAACCATCGCTAGAAAGGGCAGAAGCGAAATAAGAGAAGAAAGAAGACAAAGTTTTAAAGCGTGCTCCGCAACGCAATTTTGTATTACACATTGATTCGGAAGCTGAAATTTAAATAAAGTTAATTTTAAACACATAGTTTATTGCTATCCGCCTGTGTTTCGAATTAGTTGTGTGGGCTGCTGTAAAACCAATTCAGTTTCGCTCTCAACAGTGGCAGTATTTGACGAGATCTGATCCAAGGAAGACGTGCTTGTGTGAAGTGCAGAACGACGCGACGACGGTCTCAATTATACTGACATTGTGACATCATTTAATCATTTAAATAAACACTTAAACTTATATTCTTTAATCTAATAAAAAAAACCCCACATATATAGATTTATCAAATTCTTAAAAAATGTTTGAAATAAATAAATTAAAGATTTAAAATTTGTAATGTTATTTTAACGTTATTTATTTTGTAATGTTATTGTAATTTATACAATCATTTTAGGCCGTTGCAAGGTGATAAATTTGTTATGCAAGATAAAAATATATCGAATAAATACAGTCCACTAATTTTGTATTGCAATTATGTTGAAATAAATTAATCTGCAATGTAATTATATCACATACACCTCATCTGGCCGGCCCTTACCAGAATGTTCAGACGAACACTGATAAACAAAGTATAAGATTTTATGAGCTCTGTGCATGACATGTGCCAATATGTAAATCTATCTAGAGCCATAAACTATGATCTGTAATTGAAAACCCTACAAGGAAGCGGTGTTAGCACTTGTAATCTGTAAGTGCAGATTACTTGAGCCTAGCCGAAAATAATCACTTGAGATGTTTCTCACACTGCACCAAGGGTTCCTGTGCGGGGGTTAAATGATAACTCTGCCGCTCAGGCAGACTCGGCCTCTGCGTAGGTCACAGATAAGAACAGAATAAGAATTTCATGTTAGTTTCCTAAGCAGTTTTAATACAGAACTCAACTGAAAAGGTTGTTTTTTTTAATTCATCCCTTTCACCGCCTCTTCCACATGCTCATTCTACTCCATCTGGATCTTCAGACAACTTATCAATGCAGTCGCACGCTGCATTGGCTGTGGCATCCCCTGGTAATATTCCACCGGAACAAAACCTCGCCACTCCTGGTTTGCAGCTGGTTACTGGCGACTCAGTCTCTGCATCAAGGGCAGTTTGCGCTATGAATGATCTACCTGGCCCAAGACAGTTCCAAGTCGAACAGACCAGATAAAAAGCGTGGGGACTCCTGTGGTCTTGGGCATCCCTCTAAGTGGGGTCATTAAAAAATCTTTATTTGTATTCAGACTCAACCCAGAGGCCACGGCTGAGGATGTGAGAATCTTCCTTTGCTAAAAACTTCTTGCTCCAGATAACGCTATTTCTGTCTACTGTGAGGAGTTGAATAACTCCTCACAAATAGCAGCAACAAGAATAACGGATCGCCGTCCGCATACCAGTCACGGCCAATTAGCGTAGTAGCGGCGCGGCGAAAAGAGAGTGGAGACTTCAAGGTGGAGAGAGAGAACTCTGATGGAGAGAGTTTGGAGAGTGAGAGTCGGGAGGAAAAGGGTGCAGAGAGAGAGAGTGGAGACTTCTCTGGCAGAGCGAGAGTGCCGGGTGCAAAAGAAATTAACGGAACAGGCACCGGACTTTGGTCTCTGCCGTGGACTTTGGGCTAGGAGGTCAACTGCCCCATCTCGGCAACCAAGCGGCACACAGGCGTGCACCATTGAAAGCAGCGGGACGACGGCAACAAGCAGAACAACAACTAAAGGCCGTGGGCGATGTGCAAACGAGTCAATCAGGAACCTTGGACTTTGGACCTGCATTGGAGAGTTGCCGCGGGCAGAGCGCAGAAGGAAATAACAGACCTGCGCCGGACTTTGGACTCTGCTGTGGTCGTTGGACAAGGGCCACATCTCCGCAGCGGAGCGACGCACAGGCGTGCCACATGCACCATCGGAATCAGCGGGATGGCAGCAACACGCAGAACCATGCGTGATGAACAAGTGGGTCAAACGGGAACCGCGGACTTTGGACCCGGAGTGGAGAGATGCTGCGGACAGAACGCAAAGGGGAAATAACGGTACCCGGAGGCCCTAAATAAAGCCGCCGGGCGATGGCAACTTGATCAGTCGATCACGAGGAATCAAATCGTCAAGATCAGTCAAGATATCAAAGTGAAAAAGTCGGTCAATCAGTGCCAAATAATCTACAAGTGAAAAACACAAGTCAAGTCATCGGAAGCAGCGCCGTGGGAGCCTACAAGGAGCAAGATCGCTACGTCGAGACGTTCGCTGACGTCCAGAGGGCTTCACACGGCTAAGTCAAGGCGAACTGTTCCTACTCCTGTACGGCTAAAGCCTCGCAATACGCCTGGCGTGTCCCTCTGAGTCTAGAAGTGAAGTCCTGTGACAAGAGTTCGTGAACTCGGGGCGAGAACCGTCTAAAAGCTCTACTGAATCCTCATCATCGAACATATCTAATCTTTTTGCAAAATTTTTTTAGTCAACCAGTCAACAAATATCGTTTTCTCCGGGTCCTGATAAGATACCAAGCTGTGTCCTTAGAAACTGTGCCGAAACTTTGTCATGGCCAATCACATTATTCAACCAATCTCTGTTTCTTTCTGAATTCCCGAGAATTTGGAGTGAATCTTTCATCATTCCTCTGCATAAAAAAGGCTCAAAATCCGATGTTGAAAACTATCGCTAAACTCTCCGCTATACCAAAGCTTTTCGAACAGTTGGTCACCTGCCAACTTCAACATATGTGTACCTCCATAATCTCTCCAGCTCCGCATGGTTTTGTTAAGCAGAGGTCAACTACTACAAATCTCTCCGAATTCTCTTGTCTTATTCATCGAAGTTTCCTTAATAAATGCCAAACTAATGTTATTTTTACAGATTTCAGAAAGGCATTTGATTCAGTAAGCCATAGCCTTCTCCTTCACAAACTGTCTCTTTTATGATTTCCACCAATTTTACTAAACTGGATTTTGGCATATCTCTCGAATATAACTCAACGCGTTCTCTTTAAAAATCAATTTTCTTCTGTTGTAAATGTTTTTTCTGGTGTCCCACAAGGCAGTCACTTAGGTCCACTACTTTTTGTACTCTTTATAAACGATCTTCCAAACGTCATATCTTTTGCCACTACTTTAATGTATGCTGATGACGTAAAAATTTGCCTATCATACTCCAACCAAATCTCCCACCATCGCCTTCAATTGGATCTAAATGAATTACAGTCTTGGTGCTTCATTAACTTGTTACACTTTAACCACGCAAAATGCAAGTCGATGTCCTTTTATCGAACTAACTATCTCGGGAATTGTATTTTGGAACGTACTTCCAAAGTAAATGATCTAGGTGTTTTATTTGACAGCAAAATAAAGCTAGGGGGGCTTTAGCCTTCATAAAACGTTGGGGCAAGGAGATCGACGGTCCATACACAACAAAAACTTTGTATGTTTGTATGGAACCCATAATATAATGAACAACAAAAATTAATTGAGTTAGTTCAAAAACAGTTTATATTATTCGCTTTGCGTCAGCTGAACTGGGATCCGACTAGACACTTGCCCCCCTATGAATCGAGATTAAAACAAGAAAGAGCGCTATAGTCGGGTTGGTGTCCCAACTATCTAATACCCTTCACTCGGCTAAAGGGAGTGCGAGGGAGATGGATATATAACCTTTTTTTGATTGCGCATAACTTTTTAATTAATGATCCGATTTGAAAAATGTCTTCTACATTTCGATAGGTATAAATATACACAGCAACTTCCCGGAAATCTTTAAAGGTGTGGGCACCAGACGATTGTGGGCGATTGTGTGCGTTAGAGGGTGCGTGGCCCTCGCCTGAAATAAACGTAGGAAGCCCAAGAATATGTGTGGAAAATCTCAACCTTCTAGCTTTTGTAGTTTCCGAGATCTCAGCGTTCATACAGACAGACAGACGAACATGGCTATATCGACTCGGCTAGTGATCCTGATCAAGAATATATATACTTTATAGGGTCGGAAACGCTTTCTTCTCCCTGTTAAATACTTTTGCACGAATACAATATACCCTATTACACAACGAGTATCGAGTATAATTAATTGATTTACAGATTGTAAAACATCGCAGAATGTGCGGTGGAGTAATTTTTTTTCATAAACTGATTTTAGGTGAATTAAACTCCCCGCGTCTCCTAAGGTACATTGACATCGCTGTCCCTTTGAGATTCACTCGAACTTTTCGCCCATTTCACCTGCCAATTTGTTGATCAAATTTTAAAGTTCATGAGCCCTTTAGGGTTCTTTGTCAAATTTTAATTTATTGTATACTGAAATATCATTGGAAAACTCGGTAGAATGTTTATCAGCTAAAATGTACTCCTTTCTTGAGTCTTCGAGTAGTCTGTACTAACTTGTTTAACGCTTGGGCTACCGACTAGGGCTCTCCCCGAACAAATCCGAGGGGAAAGGCGCTACTTGAGAGCTTCGCCGCACTTGACCTAGTGCTGCTGAACTCTGGATCGAAACCGATTTTTTCTGGAGCCGGCACTAGTTCCATCATTGACCTCACATTCGTGAGCGCCGGATTGGCCTCGGGCACCAGGTGGGAGGTTAGCGACACCTACATGGGTAGTGACCATGCAAAAATAATCTGCACGATAAAGTCGAGAAATGGCCCACCACGGGTTCATAAGACCGTGCCAGGGTACAAAATAGAAACGCTATACAGATGGTAGATGTTGTTCGAGAACCTCACCACTAGCGGTTCAGCTAAAGAACGGGCAAACCACAGTCTGCGATACACCAAGCTAGCCTGTGATGCATATATGCAGAGAAAGGGAAAAAACCTATCGGGAATAAGACCTGCATAATGGTGGAACCAATCCATTGAGGAAGCCAGGAAAGACTGCCACAGGGCAAGACGCGCATACCAACGCTCAAGAGGATGGCCTGAATTTAAGTCTCTTCAAATATTTTTCAGGGAACAAAAAAACGAGTACTGGAAAAACTGATAAAAGAGGGCAATCGCAGGTGCTTTAATAATATATGCGAAGATATATGCATAAAGCTCACAAGTGCTGAAGAAGTCCTCCGGGTATTAAAGAAAATACTGGACGACAAGGACCGGTACCAGATGGCATCCCGAATAAAGTCCTTAAAATTGCCATAAAGGGAAACACAAAGGAGTATGTTGACATGTATAACGCATGCCTGACAGAAGTTGCGTTCCCTAGTCGCTGGAAAATACAGCGGCTGGTACTCATACCAAAATGGGACAAGCCGGCGGAGGAGCCTTCTTCATATAGGCCACTATGCATGCTAGATACGGTGGGTAAAATTCTCGATAGAATAATCCACTCCCGGCTAGAAGGTGCCCTTGCTGAAACCAACTGCCTCTCAGAGATGCAGTATGGTTTTTGGAAGGGACTATCTACCATCGTCGCCGTCGGTAAACTGTGCGAAATCGCAGATAAAGCCATCGAGGAGAAAAGGTGGTTGTACAGCACTAAGCAGTACTGCATAGCGGCAACGCTGGATGTTAAAAACGCATTAAACTCCGGTATGCATTGAGAAACCTTAATGTTCCAACGCGAGCTACTTGGAAGACCGCCCGCTCCTGTACGAAACTGATTCTGGGCAATCGACCCACAGGGTCAGCGGGGGAGTCCCACAAGGATCAGTCCTAGGCCCCTTGTTTTGGAACGCCATGATGGGATCCTTAGGATCACGATGTCTGAAGGGGCACGACTCATTGGCTTTGCCGATGACGTAGCTATAGTAGTTACTGCAAAGAAACTCCCAGAAGCACAGAGAATCTGCAACGAAGCTGGGGAACGAGCAAGCTCGACGCCACAAGACAGAAGCTGTCCTGATAAGTAGCAGGAAGATAGAAGAGACTGCTACTATCAAAATTGGAGAAGCCACAATTAAATCTCGCCCAAGCCGAAAATACTTGGGTGTCATGATTAACCAACTGCTAACCTTCAAAGATCATCTAGATTATGCTGGTGGCAAGGCACTACTAAAAGTATATTTATTGACGGCAAAATCCAAAGTAGCTTCCGTTAAGACGAAAACTTTGCCGCGTGCGCAGCTCACCTTCTAGCGGATCTTTATAATCGTGTAAGACCATTACTTAATTTTCCGATCACAAAGGTGTTCCAATGGACGGACTTGGAGATCACTCTGCATTGGATCAAAACGCATCCTTTGTTGTTTCGGTTTTCGTCTCAAACCGAGTTGCAAAGATTCAAGAATGGTCGGTAAAAGCAAAAGCAAAAGCAAGAACCCAATTATGTGCTTCAGAAAATAGAGTCTTTTTTGTCGCACATAAGGCTTTTAAGAGTTTTCGTGTGTGTCTTTCGGTTTGTTCAAAGGTGCAAAAAGTTTTGCAGCTTTTTGAAAAAAGTATTACTTCAAGAGAACTGAATTTTGCGTTCGAGAAAAAAGCGGACGGATCCAATCTCACGAGTTCAGTGACGACATAGGCAAAATTCGAAAAAAGAAACCGGTATCAACGAATATACAGATGATAACCCCCTTTGTTCAGGAGACCAAATCAGATTGGTGTTCCAATCTGTCGGTTATTGAATGATCCTGTACGAAGTCAATTTCCCGTTGTTGTTGTCAAAAGGTCCACAGTTTATTAAATCTTACGTGTCCTAACTGCACGTTACAAATTGTCATGCTGGTCCTCGAGCTCTTGTAAGTCTGTTGCGAGAAAAAACATGGTTTGTTAATGTGCAGGAAGTTTGCCGCAGAACAGTTCGTTCTGGAATTCATTACTTTCGGTGCAAGCATTAACTCTTGGCGCAAAAAAGGATGCGAGTTTGCGTTCATACCGCCTAGAGCACCTCACTTCGGCGGACTTTGGGAGGCAGGTGTGAAGTCTGCAAAGCACCTGTTCCTTCGGACGGCCGGCTAACGACATCCTGACCGCGGAGGAGCTCGGAACTCTCCTCACCAGCGTGGAGGCCGTTCTCAACTCCAGGCCCCT